GAAGCAGGTCATTTGAGATCAGTAGCAGGATAGACGTGTACATAAAAATGTCATGGTACTTCTTACTTGCTTGGAGCTGAGAGATATACACAACATTCATCCATTTAAGAAATTTACTCTAAACCCAAATGTTCAGAATTCATCATTAGCAATGTCAAATGTATTCAAGTTGACTTACTGCAGTCATACCCAAGTGCCAGATGCCCCAAATAGCTGTTTATTGAAAAGCACACACCTCAGCTAGAGGCTTTTGTAAGTGGAGCTCAGTGTAACAAAGCTTTTGTGTCCATTGTGTGTGGTTACTGGGATTTTTTGTACAAGTTTTCACAAAACGGAGAAGGTGGGTCTCATTTTATTTTTCATGTCAACCCATGTCGCCCATGTCAGCCTACACAAACAAATGTAAACAGATGATCCACAAGTTGTTACATGTGTGTAAGTTGTGTTATAATGGATCTGACTGACACCGTTTTTACCCAGATAGTAAAATTCCTGAGGCCCAGATCAGGCCCACACCTGAGACTTTCATCTGGCCCACATACCGCGTGGAATGGTGGCACTTGGGCGGTCCGCTCCCGTTTGCCAGATTTGGGCCACAAGCAAGCCAAAGGAAGGCCCAGTGTCACCCATGAATAAACCAAATAAAGCAAAACTGGCCCAAATCTGGACCACATTGATTTGAATTCTGGCCCAGATCCGGCCCAGATCCAACACCTTGCTCTGGCCCACATACTGTTTAGAATGATGGCATTTGGGCGGTCCACTCCTGTTTGCCAGATTTGGGCCACAAGCAAGCCAAAGGAAGGCCCAAAGTCAGCCATGAATAAACCAAATAAAGCAGAACTAGCCCAAATCTGGGCCACATTTATTTTAATTCTGGCCCAGATATGGCCCAGATCTAACACCTTGTTCTGGCCCACATACTATGTAGAATGATGGCATTTGTGTGGTCCACTCCTGTTTGCAAAATTTGGGCCACAAGCAAGCCACAGGAAGGCCGCATGTCAGCCATGACAATAACTAAATAAAGTAGAACTGGCCCAAATCTGGGCCACATTTATTTTAATTCTGGCCCAGATCTGGCTCAGATCCAACACCTTGCTCTGGCCCACATAATGCGTGGAATAATGGCATTTGGGCAGTCCAGTTCTGTTTGCCAGATTTGGGCCTCAAGTAAGACTTAGCATTGCTGCATGTAAGCCAATCAAATAAACGAAAACTGGCCCTAATGTTGGCCACAGTTGATTTTTATTCTAACCCTGGTCTTTCTCACATCCGCAGCAAAAATGGCTGCCCACTGCTCCGGGTGTGTGTTCACGGTGTGTGTGTGCTCACTGCTGTGTGTGTGCACTTTGGATGGGATAAATGCAGAGCACTAATTCCGAGTATGGGTCACCATACTTGGTCACATGTCACTTCACTAAGTGAGTTATGCATCAACAATATTTAACATTGTAAAGAAAATTTTTTAAATGTCCTCCATAAATGTTCAAATAAGTTCCAGAAATGTGTCCTACTTGATAAAATCATCCCAACCCAAGTTTTGCACAAGCAGCAATTAAAATGCCACAGATAAATATTCAAAGACACATTCCAATACTTTAAAAACTGTTCTTCACAAGGTTGAACTTAAATGCTTCTCACTCAGATTCTACCTACACAGTAAGTTTGTGAGTGTCATAGCTACACTGTGTTAAAGAGCACACGACAAAGATGAAAGTTTATATATCATAAGTCTTTAATCCAACAAGGGTAAATCCAAACACAATGTAGCACAGCAACATTTAAGACATAAGACCAGACAAACTCAAAGTGAACATACAGAAACTTAAGTACTCAGACCAAACAAGGATAATTAACTAGGCACACCTGAACAGAATAATATAATCAACACAACATATAATAGGCTATAATATAATTAACAGATTAACAAAAGGAAAAAAAACACTGTGCAACAAGTAAAGGCTACGCTCGTTGTTGTGACACTCCTAATGCGTTTTATTTATTTTCTTTATATATTTATTTGATTTAATCCATCTGATCGCACTGCCTCACACACACACAAACAACATTAGTTCTACCGTTGCCTGACATTTCAGCCATTCATCATCAAACTAAAATGCAGTCAAGCAAACATAAAAGTTACACTGTTTATTTTAAAAGGTCCGCTGTAAAATCAGCGTGCAGTGCCCAAACAAAAATGTTTGCGCATGTGAAAGATTTTAGGGATATTTGAACATGAGTGAAGTATAAAGCCATGTTTAGGCTATATAATGAATAATAGTTATGCAAACAAATGTTACAAATATGGCAAAAATGGAAACATTTGAGACATGCTCATGAGCCCAATGCCGTTTCAGTTTTGCTTGACATTTATGCTGTTTATAATGAATGCCACTATAGCCTAATTTGTGTTTTATTTTATAGTTTAATATATAATTTTATAACTACTTATTTTTCATTCTTGTTCTGTTCTGAATA